GTTTGCTTCTGCTTTAGCAGGAGATTCAAGCTTGCAGTGGCAGAGGCACCGGAGGAGATCAAGACCTTTTTTAATCAATACTCTGAGAATGGCATCATGACATCTGTTCATCTCCACAGGTTCTTGACTGAGGTTCAAAAACAAGAAAAGTCTACTCTTGAGGAAGCACAATCCATCATCGAAAGCCTCAAACATTTGTCACTTTTTCACCGTAAAGGGCTTAATCTTGAGGCCTTTTTTAAGTATCTTTTTGGTGATATTAACCCTCCTCTTGATCCTAAACTCGGGGTAATTTTTTCTTTTTCTTTTTCACCTTTCTTTGTTGAGGCTAAATTTTGTTTATTTAATGACTTATGTTAAGTGGGTTTTATCTTTTTGTTTAAATCCGGTGCTTATCATAAATGTTGGATTCGATTGAAATCGCTAGATAGACTTCTTTTCTTTTCTTTTTTCCTTTCTTGTTTTTGCTTTAGTAGCTAAAGTAGGAAGTTGGTAGTTTTTTTGGGTTCTATATGGGGAAAGAAAGTGAAAAACTCAAGATCGTGACTTTTGAGTAAATGGGTAGTAATAAGCTGCGGTGATCAAAGTGTTTCATGATTACAGTGATTTGTCAACTAGTTTTATTGGATTGTGTATTGTTTAATTCTCTTTGAAACATATGCGTAGATGCAGAAAGTCCCATGGGATGGTTGAAAATGTCTATTTGGCTTATTGACTTTTGTTACTATTTAACATTTCTTCATGTGTGGAATGTCTTTCATTTTCTCCAAGAAATGATCAGGAATGTAAAATAAAAATTTTCAACTATTGCCTCTTTGTCATGGTTTCTTTTTCTAACTGATTTATCAGGTTTTTTTTTTTTTTTTTTTTTTTTTTTTTTCAATTTCACCCTGATACTTGCTTCTTCTTCTTCTTCTTCTTCTTCCTTTTTAATTTGCTGTTATATTGCATTCTTTGGTTTCAGGTGCACCATGATATGACAGCACCCATTTCACACTATTTCATTTATACCGGCCACAATTCATATCTAACCGGGAATCAGCTTAGTAGCGATTGCAGCGATGTTCCCATCATAAATGCGCTGAGGAAAGGTGTGAGAGTAATTGAACTGGATATATGGCCAAATTCGGACAAGGATGATGTGGAGGTTCTTCATGGGAGGTATGCTGTTATTCTGCTAATGAAATAATGATGATATCTCTAATACAGATGCTAAATGATGTGTAATTGTTGCTGCAAAAGGAAGATGAAGCAGGAACTAAAACTATTGATACAGCAACTTAATGGTGATGTTTTTTTCTTAAAATTTTGAGTTTGATCTTGCCTAGGTGATTTGAATCATGAAGAAGCTTTGTGTTGTTTTGTATTTCTTGATGGAGGATACTTATGTGCTAAAATGTTCAATTCTTTTACATAACCTACTATCCTTTAATGCATTAACTTTGCCTTGACTGACTTTTTAATCGTGAGTTATGAGAAATTTTTATTAACTTCAAAATACTTTTGCATCATCCTTCCTTGTTTTTAACTTAGCGGTGCCTTTTACTTCATTTAGGACTTTGACAACTCCGGTGCAACTTATCAAATGTTTGAGGTCAATTAAGGAGTACGCTTTTGCTGCATCTGAATTCCCTGTTGTTATAACTCTAGAAGACCACCTTACTCCAGATCTTCAAGCTAAAGTGGCGCAGGTGAGTCTTTGTTATTTCTTAGGGATGTGAAGCTCGCATGGGCTAATGATTTACCATATTTTTAATGATTTCTAGATGGTCACTCAAACATTTGGAGACATCCTGTTTACTCCTGGATCAGAATGCTTGAAGGAATTTCCTTCCCCTAAGTCACTGAAGAGACAGATCATCATATCAACAAAACCACCAAAGGAATACCTTGAGGCGAAGGAAGTTAAGGATAAAGAGGGTGATTCCCAGAAGGGGAATGCTGCTCCCGATGAAGAAGCTTGGGGGAAAGAAATCCCCAATCTTAAAGGTCATATTCTCGCTGATGACAAGGTATGTGAAGACACTTATTAGTATTTAACTCATCCAGTTTTTCTAGTTTCCTTCCTGACTTAACCTTCTTGGAGCAGAATGGATTGGGTGAAGAAAACGACGATGCAGAGGAAGATCTTGATGAAGGAGACCACAAGTTGCAGCATGATGTAGCACCAGAATATAAACGTTTAATTGCTATTCATGCTGGGAAGCCTAAAGGTGGGATAGAAGCATGTCTGCAAGTGGATCCTGATAAAGTGAGGCGTCTTAGCTTGAGTGAGCAACAGCTTGAAAATGCTGCAGAAAACCATGGAAAAGAAATTATCAGGTATAAACAAGCACTAAAGCATTCTGTTGCAACAATTCTTATCTGCCGAAGTACATGTGCCTCTATCTGCTGCTTGAAACCTTACTGTCATGAGTGCTACTTGTTTGATTACATGCATTTAATGAATCGATGCTCATTGTTGTAAATGTATTTATTGGAGTTGGAAGAATTTAGATGACTTAAAACAATGACTTCTTAATATTTTATTTATTTGGTGGTGCTTATTTAGTCATGGCTTCTAATCTTTGACTCCTTTACGGGTGTTATCAATGCCATTATTATGCTAGTAATTAGCTTATGTGCTTCTGAACTATCTCCTATGCATACTTTGTATTTGGATCATTAGAAAACCAAGTTCCAGAATGTCTGATGATTGGCTTGCTATACAGGTTTACCCAGCGGAATATACTCAGAGTGTATCCAAAGGGTACTCGTGTGAACTCATCCAACTATAACCCACTAATTGGATGGATGCATGGTGCTCAAATGGTTGCTTTTAATATGCAGGTTTGTGTTCCAAAATTTAAGGATTGAGTTCCTGACGCATAAACTTTGAGGGCAGAAAGTGAAGGCGTGAGGATTTGGTGTTATATCATTCTAGTTTTTTAAGAGTTTTTTGTCTTTTGTTTGTTAATTGAAAATGTACTAGACTGATGGAAGAGAAAATCACGATGAGGCTTTCTTGAGTATAGTTATCTTATTGACACTGGTTTTGCAATGCATTTAATCTATTATTTGTTCTTTTAAATTGATAGAAGTATGTGCCTCTGCCAAATACTAAAACCAGGTCTTTCATTGCAGGGATATGGAAGATCACTCTGGTTGATGCAAGGAATGTTCAGAGCTAACGGTGGGTGTGGATTTGTGAAGAAACCAGATTTTCTTCTGAGGTCTGGTCCAAATGGTGAGGTATTTGATCCCAAAGCTAAGTTACCTGTGCAAAAAACTTTGAAGGTGAGTGCTTTGTTGTCACTGACTTTGATTGGAATGGATTTTTTCTGGACTTCCATTTAAAATGCCCATACAATGTTCGCTTGTGCATTTGCTTTTGCATTGATAAATAAATCTTATTGCTGAATAGGTGAAAATATACATGGGTGAAGGATGGTATTATGATTTCAATCACACACATTTTGATGCATATTCCCCACCAGATTTCTATGTGAGGGTAAGTAGATACAATCGTATGTTCTCTTTTTCTCCTTTTCATAACTGATTATATACAATATGCTGCATTATTTTCCTGCACACAGCTATAGTCATTCTAGTTTCGCTTATCACCAAAAATCTGTTGTTCTGGTATTGACTATGGCGTCGTCTCCGTTGAGATCTGTAGTAACCCAAGGTTCACCATAACAGTGTTCGTATTAGCTGTTATATGTTTGCTAGATTTTTGCATTTTACTTCTGGTTCCATTTTGCTTAGCTCTTTTTGCGCCCCCCTCCCACTTTGCCAAGAGCTATCTGAATCAGTGCCTGCTGTCTAGATCATGAAGATAATGGATAATCAAGTTCAATTCAACTTTATTTTGTGCAGGTTGGGATTGCTGGAGTCCCTGCAGATACCGGAATGAAGAAAACAAAGACTCTGGAGGACAATTGGATACCTGTTTGGAATGAGGAGTTTGAGTTTCCATTAACTGTTCCAGAACTAGCTCTGCTTCGGATTGAAGTTCACGAGTATGACATGTCTGAGAAGGATGACTTTGGTGGTCAAACATGCCTTCCTGTACAAGAGTTAAGAGAAGGGATTCGAGCAGTTCCACTCCATAACCGCAAGGGAGAGAGATACGAATCTGTAAAGCTCCTCGTGCGCTTTGAATTTGTTTGATAATACTAGTAGCCAAGTATAAAACTACGGAAGAGAAATGTACAAATCTGTGAAGTCCATTTTGATTTCTTTGTTGTTATTGTTGTGAGCCGTGTGACTATATGATTTTTATTGCTTTGTAAACATAACAACATCTGCCCTGCTGCTTTTCTGTTGCTGTTCGTTGTGATGTACTATAATATTGTAAAGAAAGTGACAGATAATGTATTGTATGTATTTCTCTCTAATGAGAACGTATTTTGCAGTTGCCTCGAGACAGCAAGTTCATTTTACTATGATTTGGGCGGCATTGCATTCTAAGACAACCCTTCTTTGGTGTCCTCAGTCCCCTTTGATGTTCAAACAAATTCCAAGTCAATAATTTTGTTTACCGATTTGACCAGAAGTTTTTCCCCCTCCTCGGTATTGGCTAAGCACCAAAGACAAATGAGATCGAACACTACATACCTTCGAGAGAGGAAATTAAAAAAGGTTCCAAAGCAGTCAGTAGGAAGGGTTTGAACCTAAAGTTAAGAATGAAAAATCCAAAGAGGCACACTCTCTGTAAGTGTTAAGCCCCAACAGAAGCGTGATGGAGTCCCTTCATTCGGGTGGCGCAATGCTTTCAGAAATCAGAACCCATGATTATGATAACTATCCTTGGTCCATGGATCTGAATTCTAGGCTGGTTGACGTAGGGAAGCAAACAGCCCAACAACAGCCCTTAGCCCAGCACTCCAAATTTCCAAAACGAGAAACATTTTTCACGTGTATAACACGTGACTTCATTACCCGCCCTCAGTTCTCTCTTCCGTACCCAGCCAAATCAAACCCACCACCCTCCAACTCCAACTATCCAACTTCAGGAAATGTCTTCCGTACCCAGCTTCCACCACCACCTGCAACAGCAACAACTCTCATCCGACTCTGATTCCGACTCCGAAACCACCATCGGCCAAAAACACCACTCAGCTGATCTCGCAAACTCAATTTTCAAATCCTACTTCGAACACACCAACAACCAATCCTCGGAACCAACCCAGCATGACCTCACCAAAATCAAATCCTTCCTAAACTCCTCCTCCTCAGGGGCTCTATCATGTCTCATTTGTCTGGAACGCATCAAACTCTCCGATCCAACCTGGTCTTGCACTTCTCTCTGCTACGCGGTTTTCCACCTTATTTGTATCCAATCCTGGGCCCGCCAAGCCTCTGATCTCTCCGCTCTTCGCGCCTCCACGCGCCTCCCTATCTCCTCCGATAAAGCCGCTGAGTCCTCCACCTGGAACTGCCCTAAATGCCGCTCTGATTATTCTAGATCTCAAATACCCAGAAGTTACCTCTGCTTCTGTGGCAAAATCGAAAACCCGCCAAATGATAATCCCTGGATTTTACCCCATTCTTGTGGTGAAATCTGTGATCGTCCGTTGAAGAATAACTGCGGTCATTTCTGTTTGTTACTTTGCCATCCGGGTCCCTGCCCGCCTTGCCCGAAACTTGTCAAAGCGACATGTTTTTGCGGCACAACGACGGATGTGAAGCGTTGCGGTTTCAAATTGTTTTCGTGTAACAATGTCTGTAATAAATCATTAGATTGTGGGATTCATGGTTGTAAACAAATTTGCCATGATGGACCATGCCCGCCTTGTAATGCCCGCGGGGTTTATAAATGTTTATGTGGAAGGAAAGCTGCGGAGAGGGAGTGTTGTGAGAGAGAATTTAGATGTGAAAATCCGTGCGAGAAACTGTTGGCCTGCGGAAAACATGTGTGTGAGAGGGGGTGCCATTTTGCAAAATGTGGAGATTGTCCTCTTCAAGGGAAGAGAGCATGTCCGTGTGGGAAGAGAGTTTACGAAGGAATGGCTTGTGATGTTGTTGTGCCGCTTTGTGGTGGTACTTGTGATAAAATGCTGAGTTGTGGGTTTCATAGTTGCCACGAGAGATGTCATCGAGGGCCTTGCATTGAGACTTGTCGAATTGTTGTCACCAAGTTGTGTAGGTGTGGAGGCATGAAGAAAGAGGTAAAAACCTTTTTTTTTCCTGCTTTCTAATCCATTTAATGTTTTATCAATGATTGCTGTTAAATTGTACTCGGTATTGCAATGGAGATACTGTGTAGATGGGTATAATGTGATAAGCATTAGTTTGGTCTTTTGTAGTGAACTGAAAATTTGACTTTTGTTTTTCTATTTTATTCATCGTGTAAGTTCAAAATTGGGGAGATTTAACTGAATTTAGATTAGGTTCCTTGCTATCAAGATTTGGCATGTGAGAGGAAGTGTCAAAGAATGAGAGATTGTGGACGACATGCTTGTAAACGTCGCTGCTGTGATGGGGACTGTCCGCCGTGTGGAGAGGTGCAATTCATAGTGCCTGGTTGCTTGCTTAACCCTTTTTTTTTTTTTATCATTTTTATCCTGAAATTCAATAAATGTTTGAAATTTCAGATTTGTGGAAAGAGGCTTCGGTGTAGGAATCATAAGTGTCCTGCTCCATGCCATCGGTATGCTTTTCTTCATCTTGGCTCGCTTGCATTCTTTATATACACGAGGATGGCTATGAATTGATTAGGTATAAAATAAAAAAAGATGAGATGCAAGGTAGTTTTGCTATGCCACTGCATTTTAGAATGCTTCATGAACATACTCATTTTTTTGAAATGTTTTTGATTGCGTTTCCAAAATTGTGGACCAGTCTCACAAAATACTTCTTACTGTAGTGTTGTTCTCAGTTGGCTAATGAGATGTTATGCATTATATATGTATATTTTTGTATTTAGGCAATGTCTTGATGGTTGGCTTTGTTCTTTTAGAGGTGCCTGTGCTCCTTGTCCTGTAATGTTTACGATTTCATGTGCATGTGGAGAGACACACTTTGAGGTGAGTGGTTTGCTTATTCTGGATATCTTCTCAATTTCTAAATAGGAGCGACATATAGATTATCTGAAAGCACAACTTGTGGCTCTCTGAAAGATCGTTCTGTAGTAATTTACATTCTTGTACAGACCTAAGCTTATATATAGAACCCTGTCGAGGAATTAACTGTTTTCTGATTTAATATAACTAGAATGGAGCCTTGATCATACTTAACCAGCTGTCTTTAGCCCAATGCTATTTCTTTTTCTCAAAGCAACGGTAGGGTGTTAGGACTTGGGCTCAATTCTTGCCTTCACTATCATAAGAAACCTAAAGAAGAAGCTAAAACCTACACATTAATCAATAATTTTATTATGGATTTTCCTTCAGGTTCCCTGCGGCACTGAGATGGACCAAAAGCCTCCTAAATGTCGTAAATCATGTGGAATATCTCCTTTGTGCAGGCATGGATTAGATTCTAAGGTAAGATTAGGTGTATATTTCCAGTTGATGCCGTGGTGGTACTCTGTTTTATCGAAAACATGTGAATTTGATGTGGTGGTCGAACAGCTGATGTTACTAGTGGCATCCCTTTTACTTGCTGTTTATTGGTCTAAATTTTGACTTCTTTCTAATAAGTATGTACATCTATATGCAATTCTGATTCAAGAGAGACTGATGCTGATACTATTTCATGATCTATAGTGTGCTCTGTTGGAGAATATTTAAGCAATTCTTATGTCTGTGATTTTGTCCAGCCACATAAATGCCATTATGGGGCATGCCCTCCTTGTCGATTGCTTTGCAATGAAGAATATCCATGCGGCCATAACTGCAAATTAAGGTTCATGAAATTACAAATTTAATGAACGTGTTCTTAAGATTTTCCTTTTGTTAGTAATTCCTGAAATCGTCCTATCCTTGTTTTCTTTTTCTGTTTTGTGGTTCAGGTGTCATGGCCCTAGACCGCCTCCTAATCCAGATTTCACATTGAGGCCAAAGAAAAAGAAACCAAATAATCAGAGTGAAAGTACACCAGGATCCCCATGCCCTCCGTGCCCTGAACTTGTTTGGAGGCCATGCGTTGGCCAACACATTGGAGCAGAGAGAATGGTTTGTTTCGATTATCTATTGTGGCTCAATAACTTTTCCTTTCTCCGTGTTGTGTGGGTAAACTATTTTGGTTGCTCCTCTTTTCAGATGATCTGCTCAGACATAACCCAATTTTCCTGTGAAAATTTGTGTGGGAATCCTCTTTCTTGTGGCAATCACTACTGTACAAAAACTTGCCATGCACTGAACAGCCAGTCTTCAACTTCATTGGTTCAACATAAAAGAAGTGAGTCTTGTGAAGAGTGTCATCTTCCTTGTGAAAAGGTGATAAATTGTTTTGATACCATTCTGTTGTTTCCTTTAGATTTTTTTAATACTAATAATCTTTATTCGTTTCAAATTCTGTTCTTGTCTTGGGTTCAGAAGATGCTGTAAACAGGGTGTAGTTTTATAATTTGGTGCACCAGATATGTTTAATCTTAACATCATTGTATGTTTTTGGGTAACCTCATTTGTTCAGGAACGGCAGCCTGCTTGTCAGCATTCTTGCCCTCTGCCATGTCATCCTGGGGACTGCCCCCTTGCAAAGTTCTTGTGAAACGATCTTGTCATTGTGGTTCTATGGTGCACGTTTTTGAGTGCATATATTACAATAACTTGTCAGAAAAGGAGCAAATGGCTGCTCGTTCATGTGGTGGACCTTGCCATAGGTAATAAATGGATTGTTAACATTTATCTTGTTAGTATATTCTGCAAAACTTTTTTTATTGATCATTTTTATGCCCTTTTCAATTCAAGGAAGCTTTTATTTTGACTTTCCTTATGATTTCTGTTGTTGCTTGTGTGCTTCCCTTTGTTTTTGCCTTTTGTTTTCTTTTATGAGAAGTCGAACCAAGAGAAAGCTGTAAAGATAATTGTTGCACGTTCTAGTGACCTGCATATGTTTTTCACTGACAATATTCAGCTATTCTATGCTATTGTGGCAGCTGCTAAAATTGAGTTTCCCTTCTGTTCCTTGTTCTTTAGCTTGCTATCTGATAGCTTGGATATTTTCGAAACTTGTATGTAGCTAAATTTTGGCAAAGGTTCTACAAGGGAGTTTTTGGAGCAAATGATTTTTAAAGGAACCATTATGTGCTTTAGGCTGAAATCTTAAACTCTCAAAGTTTTGTAATTTTTAGAATTTGATGATCTTGGAGATATCATGGTGAATTTTGGAGAACTAAAAGTGTCATAACTTCTTAGTGACTTGCTGCCTTGAATAATGAGAACCTTCAGAATTATATGATGTGTGAGTGTTTAATGCAGGAAATTGCCTAATTGTACACATTTATGTCCCAAGACATGTCATCCAGGTCAATGCCCATCACCTGACAAATGCACCAAAAAGGTACTAACTTCAGTTACCTCATCATAAAAACGATTAGCAAAAAGGACCTTTTGTTAAGGCGTAAAAACTCCAACATTATTTCAGCGGCCAGTTATTAACTTGATTTCTCATGCCAACTCTCTACAAGCTCACTGTTCGTTGTCAATGCCAAACCTTGAAAAAGGAGATGCCATGTCAAGAGGTTCAAGCAGCCCATCGCAAAGCCGGTTCTGATCCCAAAGGTATATCTAAAAATCATTTTGGACTTGGTCTTCTTCTTTGCAATTCTGGTTGCAAGAGCAAAGCACAGGTCGTGGATCAGGAATTGCATTTGCGTAAATCCAAAGACTTGGAGGTACTCTTTATCCAACTAGAATTTTACAATTCATGCTCGGCAACTCTTTATGCTCATTATGGTTCCAGATAGTAATATCGATAGCTTTCCAGATAAAATTTTAAAGCGTCTATCGATTTAATTGCTATCATAATAAGCTTTAGCTTGGCTGGCAGCTTGGTCAACTAATGCGTGCCTTTAATAGTAGCATCATTGTTTATGTTATAAGTGTTCAGATGCAGAACTATTTCTCACTTCGATTTCTATTAAAATGTTATCTGGGAAAATGGTTCTCTTCATAAACTAGTGGCGCCATTTTACTTTCTTAAATTGTGTGGCAATTAAAAGACATGGCTTCACCTTTCTATTATGGAATGCTTAGTAAAACCACCAACATGGATGTATACAGTAACAGAAATGAATCCAGTCTTCTGATGCACAAGCACCATACTCTTCTTATGGTGTGTGGGGCTTGATCTGAAATCTGATAGCATTTTATGATATTGAATGAAGGAAAAGGTTCCAGCCACTGAAAATCATGCACCAAAGCGCCGAAAACGGCGAGAACGATTACAGGAAACAAAGAAGACCTCACGACTGCAGGTATGTCACTCTTCTGAAGTAAGAACGAGTTTTGTTAACTGCTTTTGTCTTAATGACGACTTGTTTTGATGCAGAAAATTACTGTTACAATGAAGTGGCTTCTTCTAATAGTCACCCTTGTGGTGACTCTGGTGGCAGCAGCATATTTCGGTTACAAAGGTCTCATGTGGCTCTCTGATTGGATGAATGAAGTTGAAGAGCAACAAAGACAGAGAAAAAGATACCCACGAATCTAGTCATTGTCAATGCAGTCACTTGGGTCTTCATCGAGTTACATTGCTTGAACTCTGATAGGCAGTTACTGGTTAACCAAAAATTATTCTTCTTTATTTATGTTTTTTCCTTGCATCAAAGTAATGGTTGTCTGGTAAATTTGGTGGGAGTTTGTTTTCCTTGGGTGGTTTACATCCTAAGCGGTGTGCATGACCTGATTTGGGCAGAAAACGTGTGATTGATTAAGCAGGTATCTGGTTGTGGATGTAATCCAGCCGACAATTCTGTCAAATATCAGATTGATTTGTGCAGCGAGACATGATTCTGATATGATCGTGTGAACTTGATGAGATGAACCGTATAAAGTTATTTTTGTCGATTACATGTGTCGTTGCAACCCAATTTCCTGAAGGATTTAATTTAATTGATGTGATGCCTATCATTCTGTAGCAGGTACGTCCAAGAAAAAGAACGTTTTAGCATCCACCAAACTCATTGAAGAATTTGCCATTTGGCTTTCATGCGGTTTTCCAAGAAGCTGGATTGCTAGACTGTTTTATTTGGAACGTCATTTACCATAGAAATAAGGATACGTGGAGAAGTATCGGTGACTTTTCTATGTCCGGACACCAACACGTGTCCTACTCTATCCCTTCATTCTTTCGGTCTTTCTTTCCTCTGATGTCCTATTCAGGTAAAACGTCTGCAAGTGCACGAATATAACAGAAGTTGTGCACGAATTTCCGTCAACAGCAGCTAGCGTGAAAATGATATGATTGGATCAGTCCAAAAGACTCGAGTGTTGGTTGAAAGGTACAGAAGGGAACTCCAAGGTGGTGTTTTTGCCTACGCATGCAAAAGGGTGGGGATGAGAAGGAATACGAGATGTTATAGTTTGTGACATAGTCAGATAAAAAAACTCCTATATTGTGTTTCCAATAGTTAGAATCTTGGTGAGCTAGAGCTACTATTTAATCCTAACGGATCTCAAAAAAGTATTTGGAAAATTCACCATTTGCAAATTAAATTAGAGAACGGTCGGGTCACGATCAAATCGACGGGTGATTGAATAAGCGACAAATCACTCCTATCCATTAGTGAGTGTGAGTAAGAGTGCATGGACATGAGATGCAAGAGTTATATGGCACGTGTGACTTGTTTGCAACTCATTCTCGCCATCATATGAACTATTAACGCATCCCCTTGGCCTATATCCGTTTCCCGTGAGTCGTGCCTGACATATGGTACCTGTTTGCCAGCACCAAGACATTGTATGGTCTAATCATAGAGCTAACTGTTGTTTAAAACTAAAAAAAGAAGAAAACGTATGGTGTAGTTAGGAGGGTGTCATAAACAAGGGCAGAATTCGATCACGTTGTATTGATTACTCTCAATGTTATTTTCCAGTTACAGTCATAATCTCACAACGGAGGCTGAATTAAAAAAAAAAAAAAAAAAAGTAGAGATTTAGTGCCGCATATTTCAACCAATGCTGAAACATCTAAATCCATTGGGAACCAATGCTAAAACATCTAGCTAGCAATCCAAGTGAATAAAGAACATTATGTGAGGTAGTAGTTCACCGGCCACCACCGATCAGAACCCACCTCCGCCCCCGGTCCCACAACATTTAATCTCGCTAAATGCATAATTAATTAGGGTATTAACCGTAGCTTTCACATTTATGTTTACATTTGGGTATCAATATCAGTAAATACTCCCCTTTTGGGCATTAAATTCGGGAGGCACCGTCTTATTCATTGGATTTTAGTTTTTTTTTCCCTTCGTTTATTAATGGATTCTTTTTGTCCTTTTTTTTTAAAACATCAAGCATGTCTTCTCACACTATCTATCATAGACATTATTTCTCTTCTCAATTTTAAATCTCTTACGATTCAGATCTTAAATAGGGTATTTACATCTAAACCATGCATTTATAAGGATTTCTTTCTTCCAATATTTCTTCAAATTCAAATAATAAAACGAATAAAAAACAGAAAGCAAACTATCAATGCATACTTATATAACACATTTTTTTTAATCAATTGTACGCTTACATATAAAATTCAATCAATTATAATATCCATCTTCACTTTGTTCATACTCTCTAACATCCATGGATAATCTTTTTCATCAAAACCAATAATTACATGCAATGCACGTGATAGCTTAATTATGAATTAGCTTAAGTATTTTTTTAAAAAAATAAACAAACAAGAAATGTTTTCAATGAGAAATTTTTTTCGAAATAGTATATAAGAATATATTTATTGATGTTTATAACTATACTAGCGTAGATGCCATGGATTTTGTATTGGTCAAAGTACAATACTCTGTGCAAATCTGGCCCTAACACGTGTCAAAGAAATAATAAATCATCACCACCAACACGAAAGCCGTATCCTATTCACTCCTTTTGTTGATTGAATTGTGAAAGTCAAATTCATGCAGCGCTACCGAACTTGAAGTTAAAACATGTGACCATGTCTAGAAATTGGACCCCAATCTCCACGTTTCTTCTTGCCCTTCACAAGGTTGGACCCATACCAGAAACTCTTGCCTCCAAAACAGTTCTATAAGATTAGTGGTACTCTGTGCAGGGTGCAAGTACGCAACGAAAAGCATCCCCGTGTATTTTGGTGCACACGTACAAACCCGAGAAGCCTAGTTTTGTTAACTTTATGTCCTTTCCCAACATCACATCAGGAATAGACAAATCTTAATCTGCAACTTTTTCAAAGAGAGGGATGATCATCGATCCAAATAGTCAACAAGAAACCGGGCCATCTCTTCCGACCAAGTCTCGCATACACCAACGTACGTATATACATACATGTATAGATACATATCATTACAAGAAAAGGAAAAGAAGCAAATGTTTAACAAGTTAAAACTATAGAAATGTAAAGGAACATTGTCCATAAAGTAAATCATGTAATCATTCTCCTTGCTGTCAGTGTTCACAAAATCCTACACTGCAGCTCAATGTTAGATAAATACTCCTAATTCATCTAAAATTGAAAAATCAATAAGAGAAACAAGAAGAAAAATGGGAATTCCTAACTCTTTACAATAGCCCAGATGTATACCCAATTAAATTGTCCAAAAAAATGATAATTCTTTTTTTTTTTTTCTAGTTTTGAAAATTGAAAATTCAATCTGAAACAATTGATATTGTACCACTTGAGATGCTGCCATGGCTACCATCACAGAGTGACAAAGCTCGCTCCAAATTAGCAACGATGTCAGTCATTGTTGGCCTGTCTTTCCCTTCCAAATTCACGCAATGCATTGCAGTGTATCCCACCAGCTCCACTGCTTCTGCTTCATTAAGCTGCGGCGGACCAACCCTGGCGTCCAAAATCTTACCCAATTCATTAACCATAATCCTCGGCACTGCAAAATCCACTATACTTGTTGGTGTGCCTCCATTATCATCACCCTTGAATATGGCTCTCTTTCCAGTCAAGAGCTCTAATAATACCACACCAAGGCCATAGACATCACTTTTTGCTGTTAATACATTTAGGCCATAGTACTCAGGATCAATGTACCCAACTGTTCCTGCTGCCTTTGTTGGTCTGTAATTGTAATCCCGTTCTGATTCAGGACCCATCAACGATAGTCCGAAATCAGAAACTCTTGCAGTCCAATTCGCATCCAGCAATATGTTTGATGACTTGATGTCTCTGTGAATTATTGGTGGGACTGCATAATTGTGAAGATATTCAATTCCTCTAGCAGCATCAAGTGCAATCTTGATCCTCATTTTCCATGAATTTATCAAACTACTACTCTTTTCAATGTTGTCCTTGTCATGTAAATGGTCATAAAGAGCTCCATTCTTCATGTAATCATAAACTAGAAGCCTCTCATCTCCATCTTCACAATATCCAACAAGCCTTACCAGATGTTTGTGGTGAAGCCTTGACAAGAATGCCAATTCTGATTCAAAGGCACTCTCTTTCTCTTGAAACTTCTTCATTTTCTGCCCTGTTTCCCCTCTCTTGATCGCCACTTCACGGCCATCACTCAATTTCCCTCTATAAACAACACCAAAGCTCCCTGCACCAATTTTGTTCTCTAGTGAGAAATTGTTGGTGGCAGCAGCAAGTTCAGCAACACCAAACTCTTCAGCTCTGTCGGCATGTTTTGATGACGTTCCACTCCTCTGACGCCTCATTGCCCTCGAGCTCTGGCGCCTTATCGTTGATGATCTCGAAATTAGACCACTATTGTTTGATGTCATGCCACCATGGGAACCAGCTCTAGTAATTGTAGGCTGAACTGAATTATGAACTTTCTTCTTACCAAAACAAACTCCAGTCCACAAGCAGTAAATAATCGTGCAAATTCCGGCAAAACCCCCTACCGATCCAACAATAGCAAACACCAATAACCCAGTTGTCAATTCCTTGGACGGAGATGACTTAGGCACTATCGAAGGGGGTGGTGCTGACGGCAATGGAGGCGGAGCCAATTGTGTTAGTACCGACGCATTGAAACCACAAGGCTTGCAAATATACCCTGAACCAGAACACAACTTCTCAGATTGTGGATACAAACCACATTGACTACAAGAAGACTGCACGCATGGCCCTGGTAAAACCTCACCCAATGGAAGCTCAATCCCGGAGCCATTAGGCCACCCCGGTCCCCAACACATAATAGAAAAATTTCTAGAAGTCAATCCACAAGTAAAATTAGACCCGGAAACAATAGACTCAAAGAAAACACCTTGAATCTCCATTGCATTATATTCACCACCACCACCCCAACAAACAACTGATCCATTATTCCTTCGAACCGCACAACTATGATTAGCCCCAAGAGCCAATTGTGAAAATTCCAAGACATCGTTTGAAGGAACATTCAATTGACCAAAGCTATTATCCCCTTTGCACACCAAAATCCCACTAGAATTCACCCCACAAACATGTAAACCACCCACTTCAAGACTCAAAATTTCCATATCCCCAAAATCAAGCTCGATCGCTCTTGCAATTGCATTGTTACCCCAACA